AATATTGGGATCATGAAAAAGTCATTAATATTTAGTCTGCCCAATGCTGATGGGAACTACAGACCCTGGCTCACTTTAAATAACGGTCTATAAACCAACCCAATGGCTCATTAGTCATGGAAAGAAAAAAAAAATCTCTCTAGATCGTCATCTGCTAAACCCAAAACAACAAAACACCAAACCAGAATTTCTAACTGCAAACTGACATTTGGATTAAGGAAGACAACACAAGTACACAGCCCAGTCTCTATAAACAAGATGTTTAAAATTACTAAATCTAAAACTAATTTTTTGTAAATTCAATGAACTGCTTACTTAATATCAACCAAAGTAAAATCAAATCTCAAAATATTGATTTGCATCAATGTCAGCGTAATGGACATATGGTGCTAACTTGAAATGTCATGAAAATGGTTGGCAACCATGAAGTCGTTATATGGTATTGGCTCAAAAGAGTAGGCTGAATGAGAGAAAGGGATAGAATGTTGTTTTTTAGGCAAGTTCAGTGATCGTGAAAAGTGCCTTAGACATGGCAATCGACATTTAATTTTATCTGCCTAACTTTAGTGATTTAGAGATAGACTTAATGGTCATGAATTGTGATTCATAAGTTGCTTGCTTGAACATAGCAAGGAGGAGTTCCAATTTTATGCTTTTGAAAGACTGCTTACATGGCTTTGGTTCGAGAATTTTGCTGCATAAAATTTGCAAAGTTGCAGAGCTATTTGCTCTTGTTGAAAACCATAAATTGAGTTCATCTTTTTTGTCCAGAAATTGAAACGGCTTGATGTTGGGGTTGTTGAGGGGAAAAAAGAAAGAAAGGAAATTTGGTGTGAGATCAAGATGGACGCTGGGGATGCATGAAAAGAACCAATTTTAAGACCCTGCCTTGAAGTGGAGGTTGGAAAAATACTTGAGAATTTGTGGTTGTGCTCCAATAACTTGGATGAAACCCCATAAGTGCATTTTAGGATTATCAAATTGTTTTTAGGAGTGTGAAAATTCAAACTTATGATGAATAGAGTGTGGGGTACAACTGAATTTAGACTCCAGAGAAGGAATTAGAGAAAGTGGCCTTAGATGGTTTGGTCACATTAAGCGTCGGCCATCTGATGATTTGCCATCTGATGATCCGATTAGGAGAGTAGATTTTTTAGATTCGAGTAGATTTTTTAGATTGATCCGATTAGGAGAGTAGATTTTTTAGATTCGACTTATATTAAGAAAAGCAGAGGTAGACCTAGGAAGACTTGGGCTTATTGTATAAAAAATGATCTTAATTTATTAGAACTAAATGAAAATATGACACTAAATAGGACGCAATGGAGAAAAAAGATTCATGTAGCAGACCCCACGTAGTGGGATTAATGCTTTGTTGTTGTTTTTGTAGAAGGAATTACCTATCCTAAATTGTGTTAAGAATTTAATTGTATCTGAGTTGCTATTTTCTAGTGGAAGATATCATCAACATCATATCACAAGAAGTTGCAAATTTTATTTAATGGCCAAGTTAGTTGCATCAAAAGCATCATAATAAGATTTAGTATAAAATTTAATATATCAATGAAAGACGAAAACATTACTTTTTTGTAAAAAAATTTAAATGAGTTAAAAAAGTGTTTACTTTAAGAGAGCATAATTAACAATGTTTTGAAAACTAGACCGGCCGGTTTGACTGTGAACTGGTGGTTCATCCAGTCCGTACGTAGTGAAAACCTACTCATGCTTTTGAACCGTGTGAAATTGGTTGAATCGTCGGTCAAACCGGTCGACCGCCAAACGGGTTTCATGTTTCGAAAACTGCATGTCACTATCGGGCAATACACCGCTCATGTTTTATAGCATTAGGATATTTAAAAAATCAAAATAAAACTTTTAAATAAAGCCCCTTATATCTATATATTTATCTATATATATATATATTTTTTGAAAGCCCAAAATGCTGATATATTAAATAGAAGAAAGATACAGATATAATGTGTGGGAGGGTCTAAACATGACACCCTGCTCACACAATAACCACAACTGATTACAAAACTTGAAAATATTATCAAATCATGTTCAATCACAGTTGTATATATATATATATATATAATATACAATTGTGATTGAACATGATTTGATTGGTTGGAATATACCTTGAAGCTCGGGCAAATTAAATGATAGTATCGTGCAATGACATAACTTGATTCTGCAAGAATGAAGGGAAGTAGTTATAACTTATAAGTATACAAAGGATTAAAAAAGAAGGATACAAAGGATAAGAAGTAATCTTGTCATTTAATGCAACTCAATCTGGATTAATTAATTAAGGTTGATAATTTAATTTGAAGATGAAAATAAAGCAATAGTAGATCTGGTAGAATTATTTTGAATAAAATTTGTTTGCAATAAATGAATTAATTAAAAATTCAGTTTGATTTTAATTTGGATTGAGTTAAATTTTTTATAAGTTAATGCATATATTCATGGAAGAATTTTTTAGAGTGCTACATGATTTTTTTTTATTTATTTATCTTTTTTATATTTATATTATTGCATTATTACGTATTATTTAGGTCATATTTAATTAATTTTATTTCTCTATTGCGTCAGCCCATTTAACCTCGATTGAACCAATGAACCTTGAACCGTTCCTTCTGTCGGTTTGATGTTCGATCCGGTTTTCACAACCTTCATAATTAATATAATAATAAAATATATTATGGATCAATAAATAAATAGAAGCAAACTCAGTATTAAAAATAAGGCATAAACATAAAATTTTAGATCCAAATAACTATTGAGATTTGGAGAGTTAACTATGATGTTGTAGTGATTTGGTGAACTTGTCATTCAATAAATTTGTTAAAGAGTAAAATGATTGAAATGATTGGATAAGCTTTTCGGCATCAATATTTTTATTTACAACTGTTTAATTATAGAGGAATCAAATTTGTGTTATGCAATGAAAGGTATAAGGGAACAATGAACATAAATATTTTGGTTTCATGTTAGGAAATCTTTTCATGGGAGTAATTGTATTGTGAAAGATAATGAAGATGTAAAAAGAGATCTTTTCATGGAAGTAATTGTACTGCGAAAGATAATAATGAAAATGTATAAATGATTATGCTCAAGAAAGTATGAGTTTCGCTAGAATTGATTTCCCGTGTATTAAGGAAGAAACATTTGTTGTACATTATGCTCAAGAAAGTACATGATTTTTGCTAGAACTTATTTTCTGTGCATTAAGGAAGAAACAGTTGTTTCAAAGATGCGTTGATATTACTAATGATTTGCTTGGAGCATTGATTAGTCATTGGAGTTTCTAATTGTAGTAAGAGTGCATTAGCAATCAATGCTCAATTCATATCTTGTTATATTGTTTATGAAGATGCCTACAAAGAACATTGAAATTTAGTTGTCTTGATATATGACATTTATAATCACTAAGAGAACTCCTAAAATAACTTGTTTAGAGATGATGAGCTTAGGATTATTAAGGCAAAGATTGAAGTGCATAATGTGCAATTTTAGTAGGAATTTTATTAAAATTTATCATTCAACTACCTTGGTATCTATGTATTGAAGCATTTTGACTTAGATGAGGATATAAATTCTATAAATAAGGTTGAGAAGTCAAAATGAGGTTGTTTGATTATCTTATGCAGCAAGAGAATATTACAGAAACTTAGAAGGTAGATGTTGTAAAACTATAATTAGGTTGGCTATTTTGTATGCACTTGAGGGTTGGCAATAAAAAGTTGTGTAGTAGAATTGAGATTGTTAAAATGGATGTGTGGCAAAATTAAAAATGATAGATTGAGTAATGGCTATATTGAAAATCCGGTGAGTTGTGTCTATTGAAGATACTGTAATGGAAAATAAACTTAGGTGGTTTGTGCATGTTCGTAAAAATGAAAAATGCATTGGGAAGAGAAAAATGGGATACGATTTAAAATCACAGAACTTTGTAATGTACAGTAGGTAATTTTGCTTCGATGCCAATAACACAAAACTGATCAACATTTTTTTTACTAAAAATGGGTAGATCAAAGATAACTTTGATACGATTTAAAACACAACTTTGGGATGTGCGGTAGGTAATTTTGCTTCGATGCGCATAACACAAAACGAAGCGACATTTTTTTGACTAAAATTAGGTATTTTCTATGTATGTTATGCATGTATGTACTATTCAATAAGCTACATTAATTTATTATTTTCAACAACAAAAAATGACATTCAATATTGCTGTATCCTAGAAATAAAACATGGTTGCTTCAAGGAACATATTTTAGTGAATTCAATCAAAATTGGAAATGAATTATTTGATCAGTATCTAGTTTGAGAAAAATACAGAACTCTGCAAATTTTTAACAATTCCCACTGTATAAAAATGTTTTAATTATAACAACTAACAAATATTACAACTAAATAAAAAAAGAGAAATTGCGTTAAAAATATAAACTGGTTATGCTAATTAATCTTAATTACTAGATAATAAGTACTTAAAACCTTAGTAACTTTAAAAAAGGTGGATTATGGAATGAAAATGTTTAGACGGAACATTAAGCATGCAGATAATGGCTATTCTAGCTTGATATGGATCTAATAAAAATTCTCAGATAGCCCAATTTTTATTTCTTCATCTTCGATAATATCATCACATAAAGTAGAAACTGATGCTCCATAAAGTAGAAACTTATGCTCCATATTGAGAGAGAGAGAAGGCCAATTGCTAGTGACGAAGCAGCGAACCAAAAAGAGAAGAATCACTGAAGCCTAAAGTTAGGAAGGCTTGCGAAATGTTCGCTTTAATACGAGAAGGGTGTGTTACCCATTTGTTTGTTGTGGCTTATGCTTTCTGATTTTGTGATTCTAACTTTATAAAAACTGCTTTATAACTAATCTAATAATTTTTTAATTGGTCTATATCATGGATTTTTATTCCCTCCAAATGATTTCAGATTCTAACAGATTACAATACTCACCTTCCTGATTTGAAATTTTTGCAGCATCAAACCATTGACAGTGTGCTGGCTAGGGGCGAAAAGTTAGATAGCCTGGTGGAAAAGAGTTCAGATCTGAGTGCAGCTTCCCAGGTAAACCTCCTACATCTTTCTTACAAAATTACATTGGATTTTGAAGAATTCGTTCATCCTATCCAGGCTCGCTCGTGTTCGGCTCGTTAAAAAATATCCCTGTTTGTGTTCAGCTTGTTTATATTTCAAACACAAAAAAAATGTGTTTGTCTTTGTCACGTTTTCTTGTCGAGCCGAACACAAGCTATTTGCGAATAAAGAGTTTTTTTGACAACAGTAGTCACGCAACCGTAGGATGTAAAGGATTGAGGCGAGATTTAAATCTTATTATATATTGTAAAACATCGTTTAAATAAAATTTAATTTTATTTTATTCTATTTTCTTAATTAATAATTTTAATTAAATTTAACTCTTTGTTGTTTTGTAGTCAATCAAACTTTTTAAAAATACTACTCATCAATTATATATATAATGTAACGTATATATATATATATATAATTTATTTTTGAAGGAATGGTCAGAGACTATTATACAAGTCTCCAACCACTCCTAATGTGCCTAACAATTCGAGTACCACCCTTCTTAAGGCTCACATCTTCAGAGGGGGATTCAAACCCTTGACCTGAAGGGTCTTACATCAAAGATGTCAACCAACAGGTCCGGGTACACGGCACACACACACACAAACACACATACACACATGTAATTTAATTTAATTATTTCAAGTCGAAACGAGCCGAACATGAATGAACATATCATTGTTTGTGTTCGGCTCATTAACTTAGCAAACGAGTCGAACGCGAACTTCCTAACGAGCCGAACACTAAATGTTCGCGAACAACAAGCTGTTTTGACAGTCCTGCTTGGTATTGATGATTTTCTTGATGGTTATTACACAGATGTTCTACAAACAGGCTAAGAAAACCAACCAATGCTGTACAGTACTCTAACACATTTGCAAATTCAATTTTAAAAGGCGATAATACGAGCCACCGCCTGATTCTGCAATATGTTAACAAAAAGGGGTCGTTATGCAAATGGCAACCAATGTTTTTAATCTTTCATTAAAATCAATGCTTTCTAAATTATTTTGGAAGCCATATGGTGAATACTAATACGTATGGATGTGTGGTTGTCATTATTCAGGATTTAATGCATCTGTGGGATTTGTTGTGAAATTATGAATAATTTATTATCTTAATTAAATGTGGTTTTGAAAATGTATGAAGGATCAATAATACTTGCAATTGTCATTATTTTCTGGGCCTTTATGAATTTTTGAAAGATTAATTCATGTTCATGTTCACTTATATCCAGAGCTCTAATTTTATTTAAAATAATAATTAACATGCTTTATAAAACACCCAAAATAGCTTTTTAAGTATTTTGAGTGCTTTTAAAAATAATTATATGTTAATTAAATATGTTAAATATATTTTGTTTCAAGTTAAAACGAAATTAAAATTGAATAAAATAAAGTAGAAAATAAAAAAAACAAATTGTTCTACTATTTTGCTTGATTTTTTTTTAATTAAGTTGTCGTCTTTAACCATACAATCAAGCAGAGCCATTCTGATAGCATTTAATGTCATTTTAAAGTGATTTTGTCTATATTTATATAGTAAAAGCATCAAATGTTCATTTGATGAGTGATTTGGGTTCAGGATGTTCAGGGTCAAATATTAGAGGCTCTCTGGTGACATGAAACTAAAAATCGTGATTTTAAAGACATTCAAATTTATTGATTAACTATTTCATTTGGATGGTTTGAAATTATATTAATTTTAAATTTCATTAAAAATGACAATTTATAGAACATCTTTTGTTTATCAGAAACTAATGTTTTGTTTGTGGGAGATGCAACTTATTAAATAATATGTTGGTAAGCTGATTAAAAATAGTCTGTTGATAAGCTTAGTGCGGTGACTATTAGAATTTTTTATTTTTTTGGAAAAGTCAGACTGCTGCTAGAAAACTGTCACCACATCTAGATAGGTGCGGTGTAAAAATGCTACTTTTAGCGTTTGCAAAATGCATAAGCTGCCAAAATGTAGTTTACCCAAACAGTCCAGGTGCGCTTTCAAAACGCTACTGCACAAAATAAGCTGCCCCAAACAGACCCTAAATAATCCCTGTGTAAATGCTCTGCGATCGAATGAACGCGAGAACATGAAATCAAACAGAAATAGAATGAGTACATAACAATATTTTTACGGGGCATTTGCATATGTGCCGCTGAATTCCTAGGTATGTACGTATCTAACAGTTAAAGCTTTACTTTTCACACTTATACCACTAAAATTTTTCATATCTTATAAAAAAATTTTCATCGTTTTAGTTTTTTTACCGGCGAAATACACATTCTCATGCATAGATAAGCTCTCGTGTGCGTAAAAATTGAAGTATAGATGTTTCATATGTAAATACATAATGATTGAGTGATATGCATGTAAATCTTCCTATTTTTATTATTGAAACCCAAAACTTGATGTCAGCGGAAATCATGTTAACTTTGCAGTTTGATTTTTGCACCGAGACTAAAATAACTTACACCATCTTAAATTGTAGATCAACCTTTGCAATATGATTGCCATGAGAATTGAAATATGGCCATGGATCCTTGAACATTTCACTATTTGCAGGTTTCTTCATTAAGATTATAATAAAATTTTCTTTATAAAAGGGAAAAAGTCATATCAGATGATCTGAAATTGTAACTCAAGGTGAATAATTTTGAAGTATTGGATTTAAGTGCTCATCTTGCTCGAAAAAATAAAAACTTCGTTAGACGTATAAATAAATTATGATTACTTTCACTTCTCTTACAGTTTTTTTATCATATTTCTTAGTAAGACAAACCATAAAAATAACTCACATTATTATTTTATTTCTTTGCAAATAATGAGGACCACATCAAGCATATTCATTAATGTAAATAAAGAAAATTATAAAAGAAAGCGAAGTGCGTCTATATACCTTATAAATAACACAAGCATAAAAACACAACAACAATCTAACAAATTGTCTAGAAGACACAAAAAACACAAAACAAAGAGAGCTCGGAAGATACAACGGGGTCAATGAAATAGCTCCAAAGCTAACATAAAGTCAAAGATTCTAAAATCCAACTTTCAATTATAGTCAAAAGAGGTGCATGAATCTGTGTTATGATATAAGAGGAAGTATCTGAACAGAGCCAAGAAAGATCCAAGTTGCATGACGAAAAAGTCATAAATAAGGTTAAGAAAACCTATAAAGACAAGAGAATGACATAGTGTTATAAAATCTGCACTCAAATACCAATCTTCAAGCCAGAGAAATGTGACTAATATGACCAGTCAGTTGAGCCCATTATGTGTGTTGTAGTTTTCATTATTGCTCTCCCCCAAATCTTCCAGAAGCAAGATAAAAAAGGAGAATTCCATCCAAGATGCTAAAATAATGGGAATGGTTGCTAGCCAATAAATCAGAGGAAGTGAAATACCATAAAAACTATAAAGGATCTAGAATAACACCATAAGAAGGAAAATGCAATTCAATTTTAACTAGGGGATAGCTGCAAAATAAGAGCCACATTAATTTGAACATCCAGTTGACTCCAAGCATAGAATCAAGCCAAAAAATGTGTAGTAGCAACAAATACAAGATAGTAGAAGGAAGCAAAAACAATGAAGCGTTGATCCATCGGTCACTGTTCAAAGTGAGAGGGATGGTTAACTTAATCCAAAAAGACCTATATGCAGAGCATAAATCATGCTTAGTCAAGATCTCGTTGAATGATATAGCAAGAGAAAATTCCAAGTGATAAAAATAATCCCATAAGGAAGCATCCAACCTCTAATCCATAGGAGAAGTAATATACATCATATGAGAATTCATAAAGGGATGTCATGTAAGATAAATAAAGTGCACTATAGTATGTGATATGCATATGAATGATATAGTAGCATAAATGAGAATTTTACATTAATAATAGTCATATACTGAACTATTAGGAGCAAATAAGTAGAAGAATACATCGTATGAAAAAATAAGCTCTAAATGGATATTATCAGGAGCTTAAAGCATATTATTGTTCTTCATGTCATTGGGAATAGTTCTCTTAAATTTTCACCTTCTGTTTTTTTTCTCTAACTACAAGTTTGATTTTATGTAAGATCATGTCTCTTTATTCATGAACTTTTCTGAAAATTCTAGAATATCTCTCAAGCCAAATAAAATGAGAGGTAATGTGCATAGCTAGGAGAAGTTTTTTTTGTTTAATCTACAACTAAATGTTCTCTGCATAAACTAATGCTTGGCTAAGGGTGCAAACATAGTGGAAAAAGGAACCATGGAATTTTTCCAGTGAGAATGGAAAAGGAGAATTGACACTCAAAGAATAAATGGGAATGGGGTTCAAGGTTTTTGTTACATATAACACATTGAAGAGAGACTATAAAAACTCTAGTTGATATAATATCCATAGTTGTAAGGCCCCCAATCATGGCTCTTCTAATAATAGTAGAAAATTTAAGAGTGTATCGTTTAAACCAAACTAATTATGCCAAAAAGGTTCAAGAAGACCTTGATACATAAGGGAATATGTGTCTTTGTGAGAATAATAATCCTTTCCCACCCAAGAAGAATTATGTAAAGAGTTGATTTGAAGAATATATTAGATACATTCATTCAGAAATTCTAGAGTTACTTAGGCAGAAGAACCAGGTAAGAAACTTGATTGCCATACTCTTCATAGAGGTAGTGACCATCAAGTAAAGTCATTGAAAAAAAATAAATTGCCTTTACAACCCACCTAAAATTAATATATCTCTTCAGAGAAATAATAGTTTTCATCATATTATTCAAAAAGTATATACCTTTTTGCCCATTTTGGTCCAAAAAGAACCATAATAATGACAGCAATGTATAGATAAAATAGAATTTTCATAATGAATTCTCCAAATGATTTTAGTTTTGCAGATAAGACTTAATATTTCAAATTTAGGAAGCCCTAAACCCTAAAGATGTTTTGGTAGTGTGGTAGTGCTCCAAGCAATAATGTACATATGGTTGTTTGAGCCATTAATTAGAAAAGCTTTGATACCCTCTATAGCAATAACATAAACAATATGCTAGGGCCTAGCTTTTATTTTGTAAGACTTTTTACTACCATGCAGGGCATCATTGGTAATCAATTTTTCCAGCTTGGTCTTCACTTCTTAAAGGTCTACTTAACCTTATTTTGAATAAAAAATATGCTTATCACTTTACTATTATACATTGATTTTATATGTAATAATTTCAATAATTTTTTTATAAAGATCTTACTAATATGGTAAAAAAGCTTCTACTTATTATCTTCCATTTGACAAAAGCTACTTTTATTAAGAATAGATACTGGAAGACAATGTCTTTCCTTGTGAGCTTATCTGTAATTTCAATTTTAGGAGTATGAGAAGGCTTTTATATGTTCAGATTTACCTCAAAATAAATTTAACAACATAAATAGGATCTATATTTTATATAAAATAGCCCAAAAATATATTTCACCAACTTTTATGAAAACATCTGATATAACACTTAAAATATACTAAAAACAAAGTATGAGTGCTAAAGTAATTGTTATTTGAGAATTAAATTTAATTAAAAAGCTTTTTCTAGCTTGTAATTGATTTATTACTCATTAATGAGAAATTTAGAATCACATTTACTGTTTATTTTTATTTCTATTTTATTTTATTTTATTTATATTTATATTTTAAATAAAAAATATTAGATAAATTAAAATAAAATATGATTGTTTTAATACACTTAAAACATATATAATTATTTAAAAAATTTTAAACACTTGTTAATTTATTTTAAAATTTTAAATATATATACTAAAAATATGTTACGCAAATATCTTATTTTATATATATATATATATATATATATATATCCAAACAAGTCCTTAGCTTTATTTGTTTCTTATATGTCTCTTATCAATGTATATTCTAAGGTCCTCAGGTATTGTTGAATTTGAATTTATCTGTGAATCAAACCCAAGTATCAGAGCATATAACGAGAGATAGAGAGAGAGAGAGAGGGTAGAGACATGGGGAGGAGTGCACAGTGACTTGTCCCTCTAAGAAAAATTGGGGTATTATCAGGCTCTTATGACCCTTTTTATATAATCAAATCTTTATGGATACATAGGAGAGAGAGTGGGAGGGTCAAAGGTACAATATGAGATGTTACAATTCTAACCTTGCTTTAATGAGAGTGTACATATTATTTTGGATATTTTCCATATGTGGACTCGTGTTTATCGATTGTATTGGTTTGTCCAAGCTGCGAGTCATCTAGACTGATTGTCAAACAGGCAGCTGGTCGTCTAGATTTTGGGTCATCCAAACTGCAAATCATCTAGAATGTGGCTCTTCTAGACTACTAGTCATCCATAGTGTAGGTCATTCAAATTGTGGGTCGTCCGGGCAGTGGGTCGTCTAAGCAATGGGTTGTCCAGATTCCAGTCATCTTGACTGCCGATCATCAAGATTATTGATCATCCAGAATGCAGCTCGTCTCGACTGTGGGTCATCCAAGCTATAGATCGTCCAGGTTGCTAGTCGTCAAGGCTGTGGGTAATTCAACATGCTAGTTGTCTAGACTACGGTTCATCTAGGAAGTGGTTCGTGCAGACTGCAGGTCGTCTAGTCATCTAGAATGTTGGTCGTCCAGGCAACTGGTCATTCAAACTGCAGATGCTCCAGGCTGCTGGTCATCAAGACTATAAGTCGTTTAGGTTGCTGACTATCCAGGTTGTTGGTCATCTTGGTTGATGGTCATTTAGACTGTGGGTCATCCATCATGTTGGTCGTCTTGTCTGCGTGATTCAATTTGACGAATTTTTTTTATTTACATATTTAGTTTTCTGATTCTTTTATCTCTTTGAAATGCAACTAGGAAAATAATAAGAGAACTTTAATTCGAAAAAAAGTTATCGCATCTACTCTTAATCGAAAACTGAATAATTGAATTTCCTTTTTTTATATGGCTCTAAAGTTCCCTATTAAAGTCCTCGGGGGCTTTACTACCCTTTGGCTCAATCAGTGTTTTTCAATCGACTGACCTGCCTTTCTGTCAGCCTTTTCTATAACTTAGAGAATTTTTTTTTTCTTTTGACATATGTAAGTAAACAGGTAAAAAAATTTATGGAAATCTTTTGAGTGTAACATAAAGAAAAGTTCTCAGTCAGTCTTAACCTTTATTTTTGTGTTTTACCTCTTAGTGGGTGTTTTATTTTTCTTGTGACAAGCACTTGGCTTATAATAATTGATGAACGTTCCTAAATATTTCTTTGGTCGATTTTGCTGAGTTATCACCCTGTTCAAGTCTTACACCTCATATGTCTCATTTGCTCGGTCAAGTCGTTACCTCGGGCGAGCCACACCTTTTGTCAGGCGTATTAAGCGAATCTTGTCATTGTCTTTTCAGAGTTAACCACTGAGTCTTGATACTGGGATGAATTGCACCGCCACTCACCATGGATCTTGTCGCTAACAAGTAAGGAACCACCTCTAGAGGCTTGTGTCGAGTTAAGAAACACAAGCTTTCGATGCTTGAGCATTGTTGGGTCAGTCCTTGAGCAATTTGCCAATTATAAATTAATCGTCATTGTTGGTATTGTTGCTTGAACAAAACTTCCACTACTCGATTGGACAAGTTTCCCGAGCACTGATCAAATTTTGACCATCTATTACATAGAACTTCCAAAGGTTCACAAGTGTTAGTCGGAATGCGGGTCATCTAGACTGCCAGCGGGTCATCCAAACAAATGGTAATCCATACTATGGGTCGTTCCTCTTGGCCAATCGCCCAAGTTAGGTCATCTAGGTTGGGTCGGTTGTTTAGGTTGGGTCAGTCGTCCAGGCTCGGTCGACTGGTATCTAGCCTGACGAAACTGGTGCTGGTCGGGACAAACTTAATTCCCAGTTTTTCTTATTGTGATGTTCCTCTTCTTGTTTGTGGTGTGATCTATGCTCACCGTATCTTTTTGGATGTTGAATCTGAATTTGTTAGTGAATCACATCTAAGGATTATATTGTAAAATAGAAAAGAGAGAGAGGGAGAGGGAGAGGGAGAGGGGGGAGGGAGAGAGATAGATAGATAGAGAGAGAGAGAGAGAGAGAGAGAGAGAGAGAACATGACGAATTTCCCCTCTGTGGTGAACCGGGGTATTCTCGTGCTCTTGTGACACTTTTTCTATGATTGAATATTTATGGATAAATGAGAAGAGAGAGAAGATCAAAGTCTTCCTTTCTTGAAATGATCCCGTATTTATTAGGGATAAAATACAATATAAAGATATTACATTTCTAACTCTGCTTTAATGAGGGTGTACATGTTATTTTGGATCTTTGACATGTATGGGCCTATGGTTATTGGTCGTATTAGATTGTCCACGCTGGGTGTCATCCATACTGCAGATCTTCCAAACCCTGGGTCGTCTATATTGTGGTTCATCGATGGTACGGGTCATCCAGACTGTGAGTCGCCTATACTGCTGGTTGTCCAGACAAATGGTCGTCCAAACAGAGGGTTGTTCAGGCAGCGGGTCTTCTAGACCATAAGTCGTTTATACTATGTGTCATCCAGACTACGAGTCGTCCAAACTATGGAATATAGTTCATCCAGGTTGTTGGTCATATAGGCTGCTGGTCATCCAACCAGCGGGTCGTCCAAATAGCGGGTTGTCCAGGCAGCGGGTTGTTCACCCTACGGGTTGTCTAGGCTACGAGTCGTCGAGGTTGCTGTTCGTCTAGACTTCTGGTCATCTTGGTTGTGGGTTGTCCAGGATGATGGTCGTCCATGCATCAGATCGTCCAAACTATTGGTCGTTCAGTTTGCAGGATCCAATCTGAAATATTTTTGATGCACATGTAGGTAGTTTGATAGCTCTTTTGTTTGGCCTAATCTCTCTCTCTCTCTCTCTCTTTATCATAACGTCAAAAATAAAAAATAAAAAAAAAATTATTAAAAATATGAAATATGTCCCGCTAAAGCAGGATAAGAAGTTTTTATTATTTTTTTAATAAATAGCAGTCATACGCTTTCAGTGAACGTTATCCTTGGAGATCTACGGCCACCTTATACTGGTCCTGCAATTCTTTTAAATTTTAGTCTAATCTCTCTCTCTCACTCTCTCTCCGGCGGCTGAAACCTAATGTCAGCTACTGCGGCGGTGCTTCGCCCAATACATCGCCATCTCACACATTTACGAGCTTCGCAATCGGAAGGAATTTTTCCTTACCCACTCCGCCTGGAGATTAGGAAGCTTCCTTCCTCAGGAAGAAGACGATGTCTAAACGAGAGGCAAGCGCCCATTGCCGGAGCTTCAGCAGCTTCTACTGGAACTGGAGCATACAGGACAACAGAGGACATCAAAGCGGAGCTTTACCTGGCATTGCAAGGTAGGGTTTAGCTTCTTCTTGTATAGTTTAGGGCAAAATTGTTTACATGTTTTTTTTCGTTTTTCTTGGTGGTTTTATGATCGAAGGCACAAATAGAGGAATATTTGGATTGACATCTGTGAAGAAATTAAAGATAGAGGAGCTGGTGGAGCAGCTGGAGCTTAGGAATCCCACACCAAAACCAACTGATCACCTGCTTTATAAGGTACTGGTTACTGTTTTTTATGTATAATTCGCCGATTTGGTCATATTTGGTTGCTTGATGTTAGACTTTTTAGTTTTTTAGTTTGAAAAATGATTATGTTTTTTAGTTCTGTGATTTATTTGGGTGCAAGTCCCTCGAATGTTACTTCGATTTGGCAGACAAAATAAATAAAAAAGAACATCATCCTTTTTTAGAAGGCTAAATTGTTAAAATATCTTTTTTGATTTTTTTTAAATCAATGAAAAAACATATTTTTAAAAGTCAAAGTCACAATGTCAGCGGCATCACTTGCCAACACGACTCTATGTGACCTAATCTTCGTTGAGTTGGTGACTTAAGGTGGCTAGATCCTGCTCTAATTCCTTGCACTACAGGATTTATGCAAATTAGTGTAGCATGAATCTTGCTCTGGCATGGGGATATTCTGCCACTAAACTTGATTTGTGTCGGAGTTGCGTCAGATTACACAAAAACTGGGATCGGTAATGCAATTAGTGTCAAAAAAATAGAACACACATCTCGCATCAGACTTAGCATCCGTCAGCATTGATGTTAAAGAATTCGATGCGGTCCACTCTGACACAACATTTATCATTAGCATTTGTCTCGAACTGTGGAAGATGCAAATTAGTGTGGTTATTTGTGTCAACTTTGTTTGCTGCAGATGTTATATTAGCGTCAGAATGTATCAAATGGCTTCTAAAAAATATAGTAATTAAAGTCTGACGCAAACATGTGACAAATTTAAAAAAATATAAAATAACGATAAGAGTTTCATAACCTGCATAGTACTAATCTATCTTACAAACAAGTACCATCACAACTCATAAGCAATATTACTAATAAGTAAAAATGATGAGAACAAACATAATTTAACAAATATGAATCTAAATAAGTGAAAGTTTACATCTACACGTAGAATAAATGTTCACATTACCAAAAATGGAAAAAATACATAAATCCCTACGCGACAGAACATCATCAAAGTCATAATCATCATCACCCTCCTCTCCTTCCTCCTCTTACAAAACTCATTAGTTGCTCGCCTCGACGATCTACAATACTCTTTTTCGGTCGTGCTAGAGTCGCATCAACTCTTTGTTGGGCTTCTTAGAATATCTACAAGCAATCAAATGCCACATTTCAATTTTAAGAGTATTGTTGTGAAGATGACTTTGATTGTCTTATTGTAATATGAAAGTGACTTCATGTTGTGGCACATGAAGGTACTGAATTTAATGCACATCAGATATGTTAAAAATATATTATTTAAAAAAAATTAGCGCCCTGACCTATAAATTTAAACTTTCAAGCCAAAATTTCAGCCACTTATTTATCTCACAAGCATCAATCTCTTAGTTTACACATTTTACTTATTATTTAATTAAAATATAAGCTAATTGAACTTAAATAATTTTTTTATTAATATATTGTGTTAAGTTTGCATACATAACAATATATATACTTCTAGGGTTTTGATTAATTAAAGATCAAATCACACCATAGAATAAGATCATACCAATTCGAGAAATCTGAAAAAAAATTAACATAAATACAACATAACAATTCCAAAAAACACACACTAAGATTTAACGTGGAAACCCCCAAAAACGAGAAAAAATCACGGAACCACATCACAGAGAAATTTTCACTATGAATAACTAGAAATATATATAGACACTCACTCAGATCTTCTCTCCAGAATCAATAGAACTTACAGGACTTTGCTACAACCCTTTCTCTTATTCTCACAGGAGAAATTGCACGCTGAAATCCTCCTCGACTTTGCTTTGCTTTAAGATAACCTTGTCAAAACACATGCGAAAGTCGAAACCTTCGTCGCTTAATCGAAAGCTTTAAACCGAATCAGAAGAGACAACCACAGCTGGCGCACTCCACTCCTAGGAGCAGGAGTGTTGCGCTCTCTAGAATCAGGCGCATAGGTGCCCGAAATACGATTGGGGGAGGAGGGGGGTGCACTGCAGACCCTGACGCGGGCGCGCCCCCATAATGACAAGGACATGTCACGCTTTCAGTTTTTAGGCGAGGGGGCATCATCCAGGTGCGGGTGTGCTAACCTAGAAAACCTCTTCATCATATCTACAACTCCATCTGTATCATCCTCATATTCATGTAACATAGTGCTCAACTTTCATGAATTTCAATTGAGGCAAAACATAACTCCAATTTCTCGATAGTCACCACCGTCATCAACATGTCTGCATGATTCTGAGTTGTGTATCATTTTCAAGAAAGACTGTCCATCTTCTAAGAGAGTATATAAATTGATATCTAAGTTGAATACACTTTGTTCAGGCATGAAAAACATCATTCGTAGCAAGATAAATAGCACTCATGTTGTCACTTTGAAGCTTTTCAATCCCCCACTTCTTATCCAATTGTCATAAAGCCCTGTAGCCAAATCATTTCTTTGCTAGTTTCAGTAATAATAATGTATTCAACCTTCGTGGTTGAAAGTACAACAATCTTCTGCAACCTGGAAACTCAACTCACTGTTGTGTCCCCTAAAGTGAAGATATACCATGTTATACTTTTAACATCCAAATCTCCTGTCAGATCTGAATCTACAAATTTCTGTTGACTTATCCATGCACTTTCATAATAAAGTTTCATGTTGATTGTTCATTTCAAATACCTGAGAATCCTCTTCACTGTCTCTCAGTGATGTCTGTATGAATTACCCCTGTACTTGATGACCACTCTAGTCTGATATAAATCATAACATACATCAGGCTTCCAACTATTGAAACATAAGGGGTTCTTCTCATCTATGCTTGCTCTGCTTCAGACTTAAGTGATAGTTCCTTGAATAGCTTAAAGTGACTACCTAAGGGGGTGTAAACTAGCTTTGCCTCACTTATGTTAAACCTCTATATGATTTTCTCAACATATCCTGTCCAAGGAAAACTTCAATCTGTCCTTACTGATTCTCATCCTGATAATTTTTCTGGTTGGGCATAAATTCTTCATTTCAAACTCACTTGATAATTGCTCCTTCAAAATTTTTATTTTTATCATATTTGTTTGTCATTCACATACAAAAAAATTAAGATATAATAATTACCGAAGTGTTTGATGAAGCAATAATAGTCTGTTTGGAACTTCTTGCATTCGTTGTCTGACATAAACCTATCAAATCTCCTGCACCGTTGTCTCGGGGCCTGCTTCAAACCAATACTTTTCTTCAACTTGCAGACCATATCTTCTCTCTGAAACCTTGTAACTCTATAGTTACACTATATATAATTCTTCCTCCATATCTTCATGTAAGCAATGTGTTTTTTATATCCATTTGCTCTAGATGGAGATCTTCCTTTGCTACCGAACTCAACACAACTATGACGGTTATCATCTTCACCACCGTAGAAAAAATCTATGTATTTCGCTCCTTTCTTCTACTAGAATCCATTGACAATAAGCTTTGCCTCGTAACACCCGCTCGTGGAACTACTTGTTGTGAAGTGTTCTTTTGTCATCCAATATTGCTGTCAAATTTGAGGTCTGATTTGACTCCAAAGACTGCATCTTATTATCCATAACAAGCTTCCACTCTCTTAAATCTTCAACTTGAGTGGCATCCTTAAAGCACTTTGGTTCACCACTATCTGTTAACAACAAATAGTGTAACAAAGAAGAATACATGTGTACCGGTTGTATTACTCTATTAGACCTCTTGACTTCAATAGTAGGTGATTGAGAAACTTCTTGTGCTCCATCTGGTTGAACACTTTCTTTCTCCACAATCTTGATCACCAATGTTTGCTATCTCATCATACTTGGACTCTTAAGAGATAACTGACAAAAAATCTTCAATTTTGTTCTTGTCCTTATAAATCTCCATTTCATTGAACATGATATACTGATATCCCTGCTTCTGATGAATTTCTGATTTGATAGTCATCAAACTTATACTCAAGCCCATCTGAGTTATATTCAATGAAATTGCACTTAACAAATTTCGAGTCAAACTTACTCATAGACTCTACATCAATGTGTACATTTTCATAACACCCAAATACTTTTAATTGAGATAAATTTATGTCCTTGTTACTCTAAACTTCTTTCGGTTAGCCTTCCTCCTAAGGTATTAATGGATCATGGTTAATCAGATAAAAAACAATGTTTAGGGCATCATTACAAACTTGTTTTGGCAACCTTACATGTTGCCTCATACTTTTGACATGCTCCGTGATTTTTCTATTTATTCTATTTATTCTATTTACTCTATTGTGGAGTTATTGGCACAGTGAACACATGATTGAGCCTTTTTATAGCACAAAAATTCTTGAACTTCTAATCATAATACCCATCCCCATTATCTCATCTTGAGACACTTCAACTTCAAACCTATCTCATTTTCTACCACAGTTTTCCACCTCTTAAATGCTTCAAATACTTTAGATTTTTGCTTTACCTTTCTGGTGTGATCGTAAAAAAATATGACAAAATAGTGAGAACCTTCAATGGACTTGAGTAAGACCTCATATATTAGTATGCACTAACTCCATTTTATTTGACTTCACAATTGACTCACTTTTAGAGAAAGAAACATTCTTTTTCTTGTCATGTATACAATATTTGTAGAAATTCAAATCTACTGATTTCAAACCAGGAAGTTTATTCTTTGAAAGAAAGGACTTCATATATTTCTCACTCATATGTCCAAAAACCTACGATGCTATAGACAAGCATCCACCTTGATTCCAGTCATATCAATGAAATTTATCATTTCATTGATCAGGTAAAGGGCCCCTTGAATGTTGCACCAAGCTATCACTATTTCCCCCCAATCACCTTCCACAAATCACCCATGAAAATAGTCATGAATCCTGACTTTGTCAGCTGACTCATAGAGATAAGATTTTTCTTCATACTTGGAACATTTATCACTTCAGTAAGCTTCCAGAATATTTTATTTGGCAACTTGATATTAACATCATCCATTTGTATGATATTACAGGCATTTGTATGATATTTCATAGTGAACATTGTTTCTTCATATTATTTTTAGCATGTGTGAAAAGAGTCGCTTAAATCTATTATATTGCTGACTAAGGATAAAACCTTGGATTTTGACTATGGAGATATTTGTTGAGAGATTTTTTTTTTTCTGTCCTCCGCCGCCAGCTTTTCTTAGAGTTATACAATCCTTCTTGAAATGTTCTTTCTTTTCACAGTTTCAACATTCTCCTCTGTAATTTCTTCTTCTGAACTTGAATCTATCTCTTCCTGTATTCATGTCCAGATTTCTTCTCTTATTTTTAGCATTTAATGTAGAACCTAAAGATTCATCATTTGTTTTCTTTTATGAACTTCACTCATCAACAATCTTACGATATCATCGAAGTTCAACTTCATATTCTCATAAGAGTTGTTCACTACCATGACCAAATTATCCCACCTGTTCGACAATAGAGATATAATTAACAGTGTTCTGACCTCATCATCAACTTTGATCCTTACAGAGCATAACTGGCTCGTTATAGTTCTGTAATTGTTCAAATGTTCTGTCATTGAACTCTCTTCCGCCATCTTCATATTGAATAATCTCTTTATCAGAAAAATCTTATCAGAAGCAGGATGTTTTTCATATATTTTTGTCAGTATCGTCATGGGATTCACCATGATTTTCTCATTCACTATATTGAATGTAACATACAAGGAAAATAACAAATGGATCAAACCTAGAGCCGTTCGATCTAGTAATTCCCATTCCTCCGTAGTCATAGACTCAGGCTTCTTTGTGGTTCCTTGTATTGGTAGATTTTTTTTTTCTGGTACGAAAAATCCTCTACTTGCATACTCCAAAATGTGAAGTTTGATCCATTGAACTTTTCCACTTTATATCTTGCTTCGTCGATCATTGCTCGAATCAAAGAATGTCCGCTCTGATACCACATGTTGGGATAGAACTATATATATACTTCTATGGTTTCGATTGATTAGAAATCAAAATTACACCGCAGAATAGGATCGTACCAATTCGATAAATCCAAAACAAAGAATTGAAAAAAAGCACAACACAATAATTCCAAGAAAAAACACATAATAAATCCAAAACAAAGAATTGAAAAAAAGCACAACCAAGAAAAAACACATCAAGAATTAACGTGGAAAAACTCGAGGAACAGGAAAAAACTACATAGCCACAGCACCAAGAAATTTTCACTATGAAAAAACCTAAAAAATACAAAGATGCACACTCAGATGTTTTTTCTACTATCGATAGAACATATAGGACTTCCCTCCAACCCTTTTCTCTCAATCTCATAAGAGAAATTGCACGCCGAAATCCTCATCCTCGACTCTTCTTTCTTTCACGGGAACCTTGTTGAATCACCGCACGCGAGAGTCGTAACTTTCATCGCTTGAATCAAAATCTTTAAATTGAATTCGAATAGAGAACTGCATCTGGTGTGCACGTGCCATTGTTAGGCACGAAAGTGTCGCACTCTCTAGAACCAAGCGTATATGTGATTGAAATGTGGTGAGGGGGCGCTGCAGACCCGTGTAGGCATGTCGCACTCTCTATATGCAGGCAGGGGCACCATCAAGGCACAGGTGCGTCGCGCCAGAAACCCTTCAGAGTGATCCCTGCTGCTACCAATCAAGCTTCCTACACAACATAACTACTCAGTGACAGTGGTATAGTAGCCAATGGAGAGGGCTACAATAGCAGCAGTGATCACCAACGATAGCTGGCAGTTGGCGATGGCTGGCAGCAGTTGTCAGCAGTGACAACTTCTTATAGCATATTTGGAATTCCACTGATTTTCAAATGCATCAAATTTAAACTAAATGATGAATTCTAAATTCACCAAAAATTTACATTACACTCTTTTTTTCATCTAATCAAACATCAAAATTTAAAAATTCCCAACAATTGGTTTACATTAGCTTGCTAATGCATGCAAATTTGCATTCAAACAAACCCTTAGGAATAGCTATGGACATGCCAAGAAGGATTAAGCTGTCATCTGTACCACTAACAGTAAAAAGTAAATAATTTTAGATCAAGGAAACTCTGAACCTTCAAAAGTTAATTCCTTCAAGGATTATCAATAAGGCTTTGTTATGCTTGCTTGTGCTAGCATGGTGACGACCAAGCGGTGTGCATGAATGGCATTGTTGAACTTATCCTCACAAGCAAGACGTGTGCTAATGGGAGTGTCTTCTTTGGAAAATTAAATCTTATATTCAGTGGAATAACTTAAACTTTGGAGGCAGGACTTTCCTTAAATTTACAAGAGGTGAAGCTTCTATAAATAGTAACAAAAGAATTTAAGCTTAAAAATTTTGTATCATGCATTATGAATATTTTTCTCACCCCCTGGTTCCATTTATATTTCTCACTTGCTAAGAATATGTTATTAAATTTCCTTATGTAATGCAAAAAAAAAATAACTTGCACCCTTCATAGCTTCTCCATGCTTCAAAGCACCACAAATTTGAACATAAAGTCACTAATTGCTAACCCATCACTTGCTTAGAATATCTTACTATTCGTTATTGATCTTTCCTCCCAAGCCTGATGCTACAACTCATTCCAATACATTGTAGAAATGTGGATTATTCAACTATTCCATAGTGAATATATGTGATTTTGCAAGGTTAAGGTGAAATGATGTTTATGTTGTTTTTGCCTCTGCTGCAATTAATATAGTTTTGCTGAAACAATTCTTAAGATTTGGTTATTATTTTGCAAGAGTAAAGGTGAATGGAAGCTGGAAGCTCATCTACAGTACTATAACAATACTTGGATCTAAAAGAACAAAACTCGGCTTACGCGACTTCATCAGCCTAGGAGATCTCTATCAGACAATAGATGTACCAAAGGTCAGGCAAGTCCTCTCATTCAAGGAGACATCTCCTCAGAGAAAAACTAAGTGCCTGTTTGTGATAGTTTTTTTATATTTTGTTCTTCAAAATCGTCACCACACGAGCATTTGGCTATTATTTTCATGTTATTTTCTAAAAAAAATTCTAACAGGAAATTGCTTTTAACGATCATATCTGCTAAAGTATGATAACTGTAAGAAAGTTATTGTCTGACTTTTTCATTAAAAAAATATTTATAATACCCATAATAATTTTAAAAAAAATCCTTTTCTTACCGCTATATTTACAAAAAAAAAAAATATAGCTATACTAATAATATCCTAGATTTTTCTTGAATTGATATTAATAGTATGCATGCAAATTGATGAGAGATAAGACAGCTGCACAAAAGCTTCTTAAAGTTACTAACATTTGATTGTTTGCTCGCTAATGAAGGAGAGAGCCATTAACGTGATCAATTTCAGTGCTAAGGGCTTAAAGCTTCTCACAGGACAACTAACCATTGAGGCATCATATAAAATAGCATCAAAGACAGTTAAGTATTTATTTATTTTTTCTTTAATTGGATTAAAATTTTTAAAGCTCGCAAATGCATTATTTTTATACATACCACTCAACTCCTATGTATTCACATATCTAACCCAAAAACTTAACTTTTTTTAACCTTCTTATCACCCAAAGCTTTGTTGTCACATCAAAAAGGCTACATTTTACTCTACCATTTTTACTAGTAAAAAGTGAAAATTGAGTGTTAGATATGTAAAAATACATAAGAATTGAAACATGAGGGGGTAGGGGGCTATCTTTCCGGGAGCGAACTCCAGGCAAATATGAAGCGCATGGATACATGCCTTCGTTCGGCCTTGGAATGAAAGACAATTACGAATCCGCTTTGTCTACGAACAAGGAAGCTATAAGTAATGCAACTCTAAATCTCATGGAGAGTTTGATCCTGGCTCATGTAAATATTCTTATTTTTATTGTTTAAGAGGGTCATCATCAAACTTGAAACTTCAAGCATCACTCCAAAGCAGGTAACATATGTCTCAAATTATAGCTAAACAGTGAATTTCTATGAAAATAAATAGATTCCATTAATTTTCTTTTTTTTTTATTCTTTTGTTGGGACAGTTAATGAATTTGTTCCAGAAAAACTACGACCTTCTGATTGACATCTTCAATCCTGCTGGCTGGCTTGATATAACGTATCCTTTCTCTACATTTTTTTAAGAACATATTACTTATGAAGTCAATCATTCTCTTCAGTAAGATAATGGCCAGTTCTAACATACCCATCACTGCCTCATACAAATGATTTTAGGAAGATTTACATACATACCACTTAATTCCTATGTATTTACATATCTAACACCTAAATTTCAATTTTTATATATCTTCAGTAAGCATTATAGGATTGTTTCCCTAAGCAATGTTAGATATGTTGATGATTCTTTGAGGATTGGAAGGAATGACAAAGGCGCCATCTTTGTTTTAGAGAGAGCTGCAGAACAGTCGGTCTAGAAATCATTAGAAGATGTGTAATGACACAAATTTTACAGGCAAAGAGGCCTATCACTTTACATGTAATTCATGAGAATAAGATTGCAATGCAGCTCAAATATTCTTAAAAATTAAAATTTTATTGGCATTTATGCTACAAGATTGTGGGACCATCCCTAAGCTTACTAATGAAGTTTCATTTGGGGGGGGTTGGTGGGGGGCGCATTTACATACATACCACACAATTCTTATATATTTACATATTTAACATCTAATATTTAACATTAACATCTAAACATTCATATTTACATGCATACCACTCAAATCTTTGGCATCAAATAAAAAATATCATTATCTCTAACTAGTAAAAAGAGAAATATACATTTTCAATGATAAGTTTTTGATACTACAGTGTTAATGATGTAAATATCAAAATTTAGGGGTTATGTGTGTAAATTCTTAGAATTGTGTAATATGTATGTAAATTTCCCACACTTTAGGTTCATTTATCTTTATTTCCAACTAATGTGTTCTACATTCGAGCACAATGAAGCCCCATATTTTAATAATATTCTTTTAAAACTTATAGTTAATTGAAAAATATGAACTTCCGCTCTGCGGCTCTTGACGTAATATTTTTTCCTCTAATAAAAGTAATATAGTTTGTTATTTACTTTTTGGCACAATACAGCTCTCTCCTTTTCTCTCTCTATCTCTCGATATTTATACATATGAAAGCATTTTAGAAAATACGGGGCACTAATTTTAGATGCCCCGTATTTAAACAGATGGTTGGAATGAATGGAAGCAAGGAGTGGAGTAGATTCAAACAGCAGAATCTGGTGGGAATTTTGCAGCATCAAAAGATTTGGAACCAGCGGCAGCAGATGAAATGGGATGCCGTGCAATTCGAGGCCAGAAAAGATCGATTCGAAGGATGTCGACCTGAAATAAGGAATCATGGTGGGTTGGACCCCAACGGAGGGCTGCATCCAACTACATCATTGCCTTTTGTTGTTACAACCTCCCGGACATAAGACGATGCAAGAGTAATGATGGAAACGAGACAAGAGGAGAAATGCCACTGCAGAGTATTTAGGAGAGATACAAAGATCAGTTTGTGCGAGACTTTTGTAAAGCTCAAGACCATGGCAAGGGCAATTCAAGATGCAGGTTTGAAATTCTAGATCGAGTTGCATAGAATGAAAGAAACATGTGATATGAAGTTGGTAGGTGTTCTGACGATCGATGACTCGAAGTCAGGGTACAACATGTTCATATGAGACCGAAGGATGTGCACAAGAGTGCATTTCAAACTCATGAGAGTCATTACGAATTTCTATTCAAATGGAAAGATTGCCAGATGATCATGTCGAGTAGCAGCCATACGATGTGATCAAGCAACAGTTTCTTTTTTTTTTCCACATAAGGATTAGATGCTTCGTTGGGAGAGGAGTATTGTTAAGCCGACGCTAAGAAAATTTTAGTAATTTTATATTTATTATTGTGGGATATAATTAAGGCTAATATGTTTAGGGTTATGGTTAGGGTGTAGAAGATTATGGTCTTGAGTTTTTATGTTTAGGGTTTGAAAAAGATTGTCTACCTCCTGAATTGTAGATGTTGGGAAAGAAAGCCTAGCTCTCGAATTGTATGTGCTTATTTTTTATGCATTTGAGTTGTGTTGTTTGGGTTCTTGAAATAAAATATTTGTTTGCTCTAATTTATGTGAAAAATCATCTTAGTTCGTATCACAATCTTAATAGAGTGTTGGAGAGAAAGACTAAAAAGAATTCTACAACAGAATTATTAAGAAGAATGATAGAAACTGTGCGCCTCGTTGACTTTGAGAAATTACAAGAAATGCAGAAAGGATTAAGCATCTTTCAATTCATTTGAGAAGTATGTCATGCTGGCTTAGCATATAGCCTTAAAAATAAAATTCATGCTACAATTTCTAGCACTAAGATAAGAATGAGAGAGAGGTTTCGTCCAAGAAGTCTACATGGTATAAATGTAAAAAAATAAAGTATAGGTATGAGAAATGTAAATAAACAGGAATTGGCTGGTATGTATGTAAATGCCCCTATAATTAAATAAAATTTCAGCCTTTTTTCACAAATCCTTAACAAAATAGTTGTGATAGATCGCTCAGAACAATCAAACTATAACTAGATTCCATTGGTTCAAAATTTAAAAAAAAAATGGCAGCTGATTTGTAATCTCATTACTTTGCAATTTAAAGGCCCTAAAAACATCTGGTCAGTAGATAAAAAATAAAAAATTGCATCATAACTACTCAAAGAAACTTCCAACATAGTAATCACAGACCAAAAAAAAAGATATAATCAATAACAAATCTCATTTATCAGTACCAAAATAAGCCTCAATAACATATTTTCATTTAACTTACATTCAGTGGTGATCTAAAAATCTCCATGTTTGCCCACAATTCAGAGGCCTATATGTTCATGTGATTCAGAAATCCCCCTCACTCCTTTCCTTTTGCGCAATGCGTCGCAGACCTTCGCCGCATCCAACATATCCTTCACATTATGCACTCTGATAATATTAGCCCCGCCAAGAATAGCAGCAGTAGCAACAGCAATGGTGGCGGGATCTCTCTCAGCCGCATCAACCCTGCCACAAATATCACCCAAAAACCTCTTCCTTGAAGGTCCAACCATTAATGGAGCGCGCGAAGCACCCAAGCTTCTTTTACCAATCTCCTTCCTAATGGATGGTAAGTTCATGAGAATATCCAAGTTGTGCTCCTTCTGCTTGGCAAATCCAATGCCGGGGTCGACAATAATCCTCCACATTGGAATTCCTGAAAGCTCTGCTTTGCTTACACATGCATATAGCTCGGAGGCAACTTCTTCACAAACATCTTCATATTGTAAGTTCTCTTCGCTCTGCATCGTGCATGGATCCCCTCTCATGTGCATGATTATAAAGGGAACTTCGAGCTCTCCGACGACGGCTAGAATATCGGGATCGAGCTGACCTCCAGAGACATCATTAACAATATGAACTCCTCTCTTTACTGCTTCATAAGCTACTTCTGCATAGAAGGTATCAACTGATAAAAGCTTCCCTTCAATCTCTGGTATTTGCATGACTGAATCTAGCACAGGGATCGAGCAGCCTTCGAAGCTCTTCCGAAGCAGAAAGCCGACGAGCGAAAGGTCGGGTTGATTGAGCGCCAATGTCGATAATGTCTGCCCCCTCTGAGATCAGCTGTTTGATATGAGAAACAGCAGATGGTACTTCATAAAACTTCCCTCCATCACTGAAACTGTCTGGTGTTAGATTGAGGACCCCCATGACATGTGTTCTCTTCATCCAATCCCACAGCTGAGTTCCTATGGGCATAACTCTCCTGAGTCCTTCCCTTTCGATTGAAATTTCTCCGCCGACTTGCTGCCATTGTTCAAATATACCACCATTGCAGCCTGAGAACGAATTCCAAATTGCTTCGATGTCTCTATTAGAATTTGTTCCTAGGAGATCTATGAGAGGAGCCAACACGAACGGTCTCTCCCATATGCGTTCATGAGGGATGGTAAGAATCTCTGATTCAAATCTGTGACTTCCATAGAACAAAATGTCTAGATCGATCGGCCTTGGGCCGTATCTAATGCCGTCGGTCCGGCCTAACTGCTTCTCGATTTGCTTGAGCACCTTCAACAGTTCAAAAGGTCCAAATCTGGTTGTTCCTCGGACAGCTGAATTGAGAAATAGAGGTTGGTCTGTCACATAAGCAGGCTCAGATTCATACAAACATCCATGGCTTGAGATTTGGATGCCTGATTCCTTCATCAGCTGAAGAGCTCTGTTGAAGTTTTTGATTCGATCGCCCACATTGCTCCCTAAAGCTATCACGACTTCCTGATTTATAGGAGACTGCACTGAACTCATTGATGGTGATGAAAAGGAGGCCTTTTGAGTGAGGGTACATTGCGATGAGCAACCAGAGAAAATTCTCAATTTTGATTCTGGAATGCAGGTGACACATGACTTGCAAATAAAAAAAAGAAAAATTTTACATACGTAGAAAACAATTCTTATGTATTTATATATCTCACACCTAAACATTCATATTTACAAACATACCTCTTGAGGAACTCCAATGCCGAAGCTGTGTGATCCTGCGTGTGAAGATAGGGTGAATTCGATCGAATACCCCCATGTGAGAGAATAGTGTTCTTGGTTCTAAAACACCAGAGGAACACATAATCAACCATGAACAGATCCAGAAAGACAAAGCAAACACCCAACTTTAGAGTTTTCAAGCATTCTTCATGAATCAAGATGAGCGAAAAATTCAAACTTGCAATGAAGTTCTTGAAAAATTGCGCGGCAGGGATCTGTGTGAATCCATCATCTCTTCAAGTTAGAAACTAAACTTCAGTGATAAAATTGAGCAATTTAAACGTATACCATATATGTACCCTTCTTTTTTTTTTTTGTAAAATTTCAGGTTTTTCACCCTCGATTAAATCAACACCAAAATCTTAGAAATCTCTAGATTAGTTTTTCGTCATCAATCTTATTTAATTACTGGAACTAGATATATAGGGTTTCAAATTCAAAACTAATTTCATGAAGAAAAGGAGAAGAAGGAAGCATAATAGGTTTTACGTGGGTACCAGAGATGAAGAAGAAGATAGCTCCAAAGCTTCAGTTTCGGTCTCACCTACTCGCTCTTGCCCTCTGAAGCTCTTCGTCTGCTCGGTCTCGCTCTTTTCATCAACCCTAACACGTAAAATTAGCTTTTTTAAATCTCAAAATTTATAAAATCACGGAACTTTCGACCTAGTAAAAACTATAAAAAGGATCCACTGTACGATTTCTACAATTCAGATTTATTTAAGAGTTTTGAGCGGAAAAGATTTAAATTTTGATTTTCTTTGTCTTCTTGAGAGAATTACAGTTTGTAATATTTTTAAAAAAATTCAAACGCAGGGTTTTTTTTCATAATTATACTTCTGATTAGGGGTGTAAACGAGCCGCACACGAGTGAGCCTAGACTCAGCCAGTGTTCAGCTCGTTTATATTTCGAGCTCAAAAAGTGTGCTTGTGTTCGGCTCGTTTGCTAAGCGAGCCGAACACAAGCAGTTCGTGAACAAAGAGTCATTTTGACAACCCTAATCACGAAGTCATAAGATATTAAGAATTGAGGCAAGATTTAAAACATCATTTGAATATAATTTAATAATTTTTATTTTATTTTCTTCATTAATACTTTTAATTGATTATAAATCTTTGTAGCCTTGTAGTCAATTAATTTTTAAAAAAATAATACTCATCAAAAACTAGCCGAACACGGAAAAAAAAATATTTGTTCGTGTTGTTCATGTTCGATTCGTTAACTTAGCGAATGAGCCGAACACGAGCTGTTCGCGAACAACGAGCTGTTTTGACAGCCCTACTTCTAATGCTCGAAATAGAATTTGTATCGAATGAATTTATGATATGTTTATTTTTACAGCTCTTTATGTTAAATCTCAATTCATTCATGATTAAATTTTATATTCTTCTTATATTTCTTTTTATATTATTATTATTTATACAGATAACAGTGCTACTGGTAGAAGAGAATTATGAGACTATTAGTTCTATTGATATTAATGTTCATGGATCTTTTCTTTTTATATGTGTCTTTTAGATAGAGCTTTATGCAATGCATATTGATATGATGTTTTCCCTCAATCCCATTTTGATGTTTTGGATCTTATGTCTTCTGACCCTTCTCTGATTTTGGCTTTGTTGGGAAGTTCTAAGAATTTGCATTGTTGTTTCATGTACAAGAATTATTGGAGTAATTTTGACAACTATAATTTGGTCTATAGTTCGACTTAAAGTGTTACTGTGCAATGTGATCATTTATTTAACCTGTGCAATAAAGTTGAGAATGTTAGGATGACTATTTAAAAAATTTAATGGTGTTCTTCTAACATTTTGTCTATATCTATTGAGAATCTTTGAAGGCAGATGACTTACAATATGAATAAAATAGATGAAAATCCTATTAATAAGGATTTATTTTTGTTGGCCTCTCCAAATTAGAATAATCTTTCTAATGCTTTTTAATGTGACTATAAATGGGCTAAGTAAGGAACTAAATGCTCTTGACTTACCAAAGTGGGAGATATACTATATTTTCGTATCAAAATGATAAAATTAGATAAAGTTCTAAGGGTCTGTTTGGGGCAGCTGTAGCTTATTGAATAATTTGCTGGTAAGCTAGGTGCGGTGGCTATTACAAATTTTTATTTTTTTGGAAAAACCAGACCGCAGTCAGAAAGCTCCAACCGCACCGAGATAGGTGCGGCGTGAAAATGTTGTTTTCAGCATTTTGAGAACACATAAGCTGTCAAAACGTAGTTTACCCAAACAGGTCAGGTGCGTTTTCAAAACGCCACCGCACCAAATAAGCTGCCCCAAACGGGCCTTAAGTTTATTAAAGAACCTTTAGTTAATAATTTCTTTTTGTGATAATCTAGGTGATATTATTAGTGAAGTTATTTCTTTCTATTCTTCTCTATTGAAGAATAAAGGAGATAATTTTAAATTATTTCATGTTAACAGTATTAATGTCTACTAGAAGATTCATCATGATAGAGTCATGAATTATCGTCTTAGCATTGCACGAGAATCCATCACATACTTAGATAATAAAAGTGAATTATCGTCTTAGCATTCCAATTGTGCCCCCAAAAGCTTTAATAAATTATTTAAAGGCTTCATTTGGGTGAGGTTTGACTCAGATTGAACCAATTTTGGTGTCATTGTGTTTGTCTAGTCGAGCTAATCAGCTTGATTGCAAATTTGTTAAAATTAGATTTCTAAGTCATTTTTAATTGGGTTTTGAACATTCATTGCTCATAAATTTATCTTGAGATTCATTTCATATGTCGAGATTCGTGTCAGATAATGATAATTTATTAATGACATATCAAGTATTATTTCTTCTATCAATTGAAATGGTTTAGTTATTGAATTCAATGATAAGGATATTAAACATGCTTTTTTTTCCATTGTTTACAATAAATATCCTAGGTTGGATGGGTTTAATTCCAAATTTTTTAAAGATTCTTGGCACATTGTGGGTTTGGATTGTATTAAAAGTGCTAAATACTTTTTAACTTCTTCTAAAATACCTCATAGAATTAAACATACAGTCATTGTTGTTATTCCTAAGAAGTCTTGTGTTAATTCCTTTAATGAATTAAGACTTATCTCTTCATGTAATACTATTTACAAGGTCATTATTGTCGTAATTGATAATAAATTAAAGCTCATTCTTTCTAATATCATTCATTATTTTTAAGCTATTTTTATTAAATGTAAGTAAATTGTACATAATATTATTTTGACAAATGAAATGTCAAATGACTTTAATTCTATTAACTCTTCTAAGAAATATTGTTATAAGATTGATCTTTGAAAATCTTTGATAGTGTGAATAGATCTTTTCTTTATAATAGAATGGAGTGTTTGGGTTTTCCTACTATCTTTATCAATTGGGTTAAAGTTTATACTGGAGATGTATTTTTTCTGCTATTATTAATAGTGAGTTAAAAGATTATTTCCTTACCTTTTTTGTCCTTTGTCAAGGTTGTCTTCTTTCTTTTTATCTGTTTTTCATTATTATGAATGTTTTATCATCTCATATTTATTCTCAAAAGCGTATTCCTAATGTTGATAGAAGAAATGATATTTTTCATCTAATCTATGTTGATGATATTCTTATTTTAGACAAAACTAATATTGTTTCTATTAATTTTTTTATGTTAAGTTTTTTAGATTTTTAGTAGTCCTTACAAGATACTTTATGTCAATTTTGTGGTGTTACTTTAAAGGACTTCTTTGGGATTGGGAGTTTCTATTAAGCCTTCTAAACTTTTGGTTGTCGACTGTAATAAAATCTTAGATAAAACTTCATGTTTTGTTGACCGATTGGAAAAATAAACTTCATTCATCTGTAGGGGGGCTTTAACTTAATAAGTAAACAATTTGGAGTTACATTTATTATTAGTTTCGATCTTCTATTTTACCCAAGGATTTAATTAAGAAAATTTCTTCTCTTATTAGTAACTTTCTTCATAATAATGGGAGAGAAAATAAGATGAGAACTATTTATTGGAATATTATTAATCTTTCTAAGCACAATGGTGGTCTTGGTTCGCCTTCTCTTGATGTCATTAACACTTTGTGTAATCTAAGATTATATGGAAATTTTATAATTCTACTTCCTATCTCTCTGATTGGTTAATTGATTATTATGGCTCTATTTGGATCAACAATCATTTTGTTAGTTCAACTTCTTATATAAAAAACAAAATCAATAAAGTGACCCATAAAATTAGATGCTCCTTCACTTTTCAAGTTACTTCTAATAGTAATCTTTTTTTCTCCTTTGATTATTGGTTTAATGGCCATTTTTTATAAGAAACCTTTGGGGATATTATTTTGTATTGGTTTAGTTACGCTAAGGATGTTAAATTTTGGGAAATTACTAATAATAATAATTAAATTTTTTATTTTAATTCTATTACGCCTCCTATTTTTTAGTTAGAAAATTTATAACATCCTTATTACAAATGGCTTAAATTGTCTACGGAAGGGTTTAAAGTATTAGTCGCATAAGTTAGTTTATTTCTCTTCATTTAATAATTGCCCATATAAGGATTGGAGAAACTAATTTGGTTTTAAAGGAGTGCCTTTAAGTTTGCATTCCATATGTGGAAGATTACGTAGAAAGGTCTTAACACTTGTTATGCCCTTCTTCGTAGAAGTATTCAAGTTAACCCTTGTTGTGCTCTTCCATTTTCTCATTCAATTATTTGTGGATGCTCCTTATGGCTCTTTTTTTCATTGTTCCTGTTACTTACACTCAAATCATTAACTTGCGGATAATATTTCTTCTAATATTTCCAAAAGATTTTTTCTCATTGTCGTTCATGTTTTTGCCTACTATATATGGTTTGAAAGAAATATAAGAATTTTTCAAAATGATTTTAAGACTTCTGATATGCATCTAAGAAATATTCATTGAATCATGATTCAAAAAAGTAAAATATGAAAATTAAAGGGGGAAGAGGAGAAGGGAGGTGGTTCCTTAGTATATTAAAGAGATTTGTAACTTGGATTAATTTCTTTGTGGGTTCCTTGGTATATTAAAGAGATTTATAATTTGGATTAATTTCTTCGCTCTTTTTTCTTTCCTTAGTTCTGATGTCGAGTTATTGTTGATATTGTCTCTTTTTAAGGTTGTTTTCTTTTTTCTACTTCTCTTCAATTTAGTGATTTGCTTATTTGTGTTAGTTGGCCTGTTCTTTTTATTTGTGTTGAGTATTTATATTAATTATCTTTTCTCCTCCATGTCTTGGTTTGGATTTTGGATTTGGATTTGGATGTCATTGGTTTTTTGTAAGGTCTATTGAGAATATTCTTTTGATTGATTTTTGTTCCTTATAATTGTCACTCACTTCATTGTAGTGCTATGATGATTTATGTCCATTCACGATAATTCAACCATACTTTTTTATATATTTTTGTAAGGTCTATTGAGAATATTCTTTTGATTGATCTTTGTTCCTTAGAATTGTTACTCAAATGATTTTAGTGCTATGATGATTTCTGGCCATTCACTATAATTCAACCATACTTTTTTTATATATATTTTTTATTTCTTTCATTATATTAATAGTATCTAATAGAAATATAGTCTTTTTTCAGGTGAGTTTTCTAAGCATAAACTGTTATGTTTTTATTTTAAATGCTATGATACTTTCATGTTGTTCATTATAATTCAACCATAC